AGAAGTTTTTGTTGACAAGTTGAGGTCTAGTACCCCCGCGAGTCTTGGTTTGCCAACATGACGAGGTTACCAAGCCGATTCCAACGGTCGTTGTGTCGTGGTTGAAATGTACTCGGACGTCTACCATCGTTTTAGCGTTTCACTGAGGACACGAAGAGCCGCCTGGCGCCGATCGCCGGGATGAAATTGTGTGGCTAGAGAATTGAAATGAAAGATCAACCTTTGCCCTTGAATTCTGCGGTGGATTTGTGGCCGTGGGTACATTTTAGCTTGGGATTTTCTACTTCGTTCGGCAGGCTGTCCGGAAAGAAGTGTTCGGCCTTGTCTTCTCTTTATGTAGTGGAAAACCAGGATTAAAAAAAACCGCTTAAATCAAGTGAAATCGGTAAAATAATGACACCAGGAGCAAACAACACAAGTATGGAACAAGGTGAGCCATTTTTATTTAATATTTTCACTTTTAACTATCTTTGTGGAAATCTTGTAGAAAATCCCATACAAATCCTTATCAATATGCAAATTATGTTCCTTGTGTGGTTCTCAAAGAGAGCTTGGGCCGCCTGTGCCTTGCATGGCTGGGGTTGGAAATTTGAATCGGAAACGTCATGTCTTTTCAACGGAATACAAGTGTTAGTCTTCTAAATATTGAGTTGGTTAGGGTAAAGAACTCACTTTTGCGAGGAAATGGCCTAGAATTAAAGGTCTACAACGTCTAGGCTTTAAAGCTTGGTCGATTTGTAGGAACGCACGATCGTAGATTTTTCCTTTTACAAATGACGTTTGATCACTGTTTTTGCCTTTTACAAATGACATTTGATCACTCTTTTTGTCCCCGGGTGGGATTTGAACAAACCAATCTTTAAAAGTATAAATGCCCGGGGGGCTACTCGAGGAGATGTTTAAGCTTCGAATTGATGGGCGGATAACACGTACGAGAGTGAAGAAGTATTCGTTGTGTTTGATTTATCATCTTACGTGTTTATCGTGTCGGACTAATTTGATGACCTGCTCCCAGTTGGCTTGTTAGTTCAAGTGGTAGAGTGCTGCACTAGTATTTGCATCGTAGAGGTCAGTGGTTCGAAACCCGTACAGGCCTGAATTTTTTCAGGTCTGATTTTCACTACTGCTTGAATAGTGCTCTTTACTGCGAGGATCGTGCACAAATACGTATAAATTTCTACTTAGTGAGCTCATATATTCATGGTCGGACCAAACACCAAAATAAACACTAAACTAATATCAAGATCCTTCGGAACAAATCTTAACCTAGACTTATCTCGAGATCCTTTGGAACAGCTTTAGAAAAACGCTCTTTCGCTGAATTATATAACACCATACAGTGACTACTAGTTGTGGACAAGAATGTTCGGCAGAAAATGTCACCAGGTCGCAAACGTTACACAACAGCAACAACATAATTGTCTTTACATACATACATACATACATACATACATACATACATACATACATACATACATACATACATACCTGTTCCGTTTTCAAATTTCAC